TCGACCTCATAGGAAACAAATTGTCCGGCGAAATCCCGGATCAGATCGGAAATCTTCAGAAGCTCACCGTGCTCAACCTCGCTGATAACGAGATCTCCGGCAAGATCCCGGCATCTCTGGTGTGTCTCTCCGATTTACGGCATCTCGACTTGAGCAACAACAAGCTCACCGGAAAAATGCCCAACGAGTTCGGGAACATGAAGATGCTGAGTCGAGCACTACTGAGTCGAAACCAGCTAACAGGGACGATTCCGTGTTCAGTGACCGGAATGTACAGGTTGGCAGACTTGGATCTGGCCATGAATAGGATCTCTGGTACGATACCGGAGCAGATGGGGAAAATGCCTGTACTATCAACCCTGACCCTAGATGGTAACATGCTTGTGGGTGAAATACAGGTGATTGCTGGGTAATCCCGGGTTGGGTATCTTGAATCTGAGCAGAAACGGGTTGGAAGGAAACATACCGGATGTATTTGGACCGAAATCGTACTTCATGGCGCTCGATTTATCGTATAATAATTTGAAAGGTCCGGTGCCTAAATCTTTATCGTCGGCGAAGTATGTTGGTCACTTGGATCTGAGCAATAACCATCTGTGTGGGCCGATTCCGATGGGAACCCCGTTCGACCACCTTGAAGCGTCGTCGTTTTCTAACAACGATTGCCTTTGCGGAAACCCCTTGAGAACCTGCTAATAATTTTTTTGAAAGACAAACGTCGTCGTTTAATTCTGCTTTTGGGGGAAAAAATATAATCCAAAGTGTGTTTAATTATTGTTTTAATTTAAATTAAATGTAATTTACTCTTTATTCTAAGGGTAGTAATGTATTATAAGTAAATTAGAATAATTTGGTAATGTGTTTGATTGATGGATTATTATTAATTATTAATTATTAATTCTTGGTAAGGAGATTAATGTCTGAGATTGTGAATGGTTGTCGGTTGCACGTGAAAAAACAGTGTGATCTTGATTCTTTGACAGATATTCCTTGAGGATAATGTTACAACATTATAGCAATAAAAATAAAAATAAAAATAAAAATCGTTAAAATTATATATATAATTATAATTAAAATTGATAATAACAATAATGTATAAATTACAATTAGATTAATTTAAAAAAAAAAATGTAATGCGAGTTTTAGATATGTTGAATGGCCATTTTGTTTTATCTTTTAATTATTAGTATAATTAAAATAAAATTATAATATAATTAAATAATTAGTTTTTTAATATTATAATACTTAATAGTTTGTATATATAAATATATTAAAATTATTTTATATCATTATATAAATATTATGTTATATCTATTATTGGCAAATTAGGTGGAAAAAAAAAAAGGGAAAGTGAATGCACGTGAAAATGAAATAAATAAATTTTTGTGATATCTATGTAGTTGAGATATTACCTGAGAGTGTTTGAGATTCCTGAAAAATTTTGTTTAATTTTTTATTTAAAATAAATTACCAATTTAATTTACAATTTTACGTGTTTTTATTTAAATAATTTATTATAATTAATGTATACTGTAATATTTGGATCCAAAAATTAGTTCATGATAATTTTAATTATATTTATAAAATATATAAATAATTAAAAATTATGAACGAAATTAAAAATAATTTAAAAAAAATAAGTGAAATTTTGGATCAGAGAGATATTTTTTAAAGAAAACTTGAAAACATAAGGTAAAATCGCAAAAAAGAGAAATTCAGCCACGTAGGATGACCCAGTCAACAAACATGGCGAACCAGAGCACGTCGCGTGGCAGACACGTTGATATCGACACCGCGCGAGAGGACATGTGAGCAATCTGCGTGCCTGGCAAATCTGACAGTCCAGACCTCATCCCGCGCGCATGAACGGCCCAGATACATTTTCTCTTTAGATGCAATCGGACGAACGAGATTGATAACGATGGACAGCTCAGATTCGTCCATGCAATCAGCCTAAATGAAAAATCATCAAACAACCCTCCTCGTTCCACATCGACTCAAACGAGTAGCTTGGATAGAAGAGGAGAGAAGTATTTAAACTCCTATTCGCAGAGAACTAAAGCCCTAACTAACAAAGGGGTGACCAGAGAAGAAGAAGAAGGGTGGCTAGAGAAAGAACAAAATGCTGGAGAAAGAGGCCGACCACTGTTGCCGCCGCATCAGAGCCATCACCGATACCAAAAGATGTATTTTTCCCCCCTTTCGGCTAGGAATTCAATCCCGAGCCTCCCTGTGGCCATATCGAAGCTAAAGGATCGACGAGTGAGTTAGAAACTGCTGGCAAAGCTCGATCGAGCTGCTGTGGTTAAAACCCAAAACCCTCTCTGATGATTCCCTTCCCGTTTCTTGTTTCACGTGATTCTTTTACCACCATATTTACCGTCTTTTTCTTATGCAAATTAGCTGAAGAGGAATCCTAATCGTAAAGGAGGATCGGCGAAGCCGATGCACCTGGAGACACCCCGCTGGTAGGTTTTGATTTTTTTATTTTTTCGGCCAACCGATGCTCCTTAACGTATTTTTTTCTGGGGATACATGTAAAACTGGCTAACATCGGCCGAAATCGGCTAAAATTGGCCAGGCCAATGCAAACCATTATCGTGGGCGGCGGAGTCGGCGTTGGAGCACTGTGCTGCCATCGTGCCGGAACCCTAAAATTTGTTGAAAAAGATTTTTAACATTGATTTTGATCTTTTGAGGTATTTTTGAGTATGTGATGAGTATTTTAATTTTTGCAGGAAAAATTTAGGAAATCCGGGGACCGTTAGGAGGCATAGGAGATAGTATGGTAGTTCGAAATATCGATCTAGATAAGAATCTCTCACCATATTCTCTATTACGGTAAATTAAGGCTTAATAATCGATAAATCTTGTGTTTTGTGAAAATTAAAAAAATTCTAAAAATAATTACAAGTCACTAGTAGAGGCAGAACTTGTCAGTTCATGTTTGCCCTGATTCACCGTTTATTTTCCTACACTACTTAAATTACTTACTATTATATTGTGCGTATTAAATTGATAGTTTTGATTTATTTTCTCAAGTGTTTGGTTTACCTTACTGCATATTCCTTTGCTAGTATGTTCTATAATAATTATCTCAATTATGTTCTTAATATATGTATCGCCCATTTGCATAACTTGTCATCGATATGAGAATATAAGATATTGGTATGTAATTGGTAATTGGTTCGTTGTGTGATTCCATGTAAGAAAGGTTTACTGGGTACCCTGGGTATGGGTGGACGAACTAGATACGTAGAGAACCCTACTGTGGACATTACCTCAATCGGACGGGGCTGAGAAGTCCCATAGCAGAAAGATTTGGGAGATATAGTTCACCTTCATACTGGACGAGGTATCGAAGCGATGATGTGTTTGGCGCCCATTACCGGACGGGATATCGAGGTGACGGTGTGTTTGGCGCCCATTACCGGACGGGGTATAGGACGACCGAATTAATTGACAAATCTAGATATTGAGTTCATGAGTAGAAAAATATTCTTATGGACCCCTAGGGGTTCCAATAAGCAAGTAAAAATGGGAGAATTGCCGACCTTGCTCACTTATACATGAAATCATAATATTATATGAGTATTTATCTCATAGATTGATTTTGAAAAACTTGTAATGGTAAATATGGGAATAACGTTTTAATGTTAAATGAATTTACTTAAACTAAGGACTTTATTAATTGTTTTGTAATTTTTACCAGTTTCTGTATCAATGATTAGTGTGATATTCTTATTAGGCTAGTGTAGTTCAATCTTTTATTAACTATTTTAGATTAAGAAGATCAAAATCCAGAACCCGATCAACAAGAGGGTTCTGAGTAGTTTATGTCCTAGACCCTCTTCAAGTACTAGTGGAGGTTAACTACATAGGACATTTATTTATTTGTTTTCAATCATTTATTTGCTTTTTTTACGAACCGCTGTAGAAGAGACATTTCTGTAACCCTATTAGGCATTCTTATTTACTGTATAAGAAATGTAAACCCTAACTTATTTGTTTGTTTCTACATTTAAAATATAAATTCATTTCCTTTAAGTTCTGAAGTTTTACAGTTGGTATTATAACTGCATTTCTTAAAATCATTCCTTACACAAAGATTTAAAAATACCAAAATATAAACTCTCGCTCAACCTTTTCTTGTGAAATGTATATGCAAGGATATGAGCAGAGGAACGCCCTTACTAAACCGAGCAGCTCGAGATGGGTCATTTCGAGAGGATGTCGATTGACTCTTTGAGATGCTGGAGAAACTCATCTCTGCCTAGGAGGCACGGGAAGAAAGTTGTCTGACCCT